TTTATTACAACAAAAAATACAATATCTCTGAAATAATGTAATTCGCGTCAGCAAAAAGTATAAAAACAGAAACAAAACTAACTACTTGCAAATATTATAAACAAAATAACAAAATCTAGTACTCCGCATGGTCAGTGTCGAAACATTCTACATAGAATCCTTGTTTATTAGGAGACATTTCGCAATGGTATGTAGTATGGTTCTGTATCTTTTTTTGAAAACATACTTTGCAATATTTTCTCTTGGTTCTTCCGCCGTCACATTTCGAAGAAATTTTTGTCAGTATCAATCCAATCCACCATTGGCCTAATTTTCATTAATCCATCTTTTGCGTCTCTCCGTGGGATATATTTTTCGAAAAATGCAGCATCTTATTATCACTAAGAAACGATATCTTCTCATAAATGCCGAAAAACAAGTCAAATTGAACAAAGGGTGCTTCTGTCAATAGTCTTGTATTCTGTTGAGTCTGATATTGCCCATATGCAGTGCTAGACCCACAAAGGTTAGTACTCAACTTTGTCAAGTGCTTTCCATCTGGTAATTCTCGAGTTTACTGTAGTCCCTTTCTTGCAAAGTATTTCTTCGGCATACCGGTTTGTTTCAGTTACGATGAAAGTTATTATTTCGTCTTTCGTCAGTTTGCCGGGACCATTAGTCCACTGTGGTTCCGAAACCTCCTCTTGAACCGCCAGTGTAACATCTTCCTATACCATCCCAATCTCTTGATCAAATATACCTACAAGAAGTTTATAATAAATAATACAAATATTGTAAGTATAGCTTCAATTTATTTTACCTGTGTCATTTAAATAGACGTCCTCAGAATCGGTCTCTTCTATTTTAAAATTATCAACACTTGATTTAACCAAATTTCAATTGTGTTCATAATCACTGTTTTTCAAAGCACCTAATAACTCTTGTTCTGTAGGTCTATTTGGATTTTTATACTTTAATTTAGTTTTTTTTTACGTTTAGATGGACCTGGCGCACTTATATCTATTTCAGTCTAGTAATAAATAGCGGAGTTGACAACAAAATTGCACAAAAATTTTACAATGTCTAACCTTTAGTACCACACTGAAAAATACACATGCGTTTTATTCCGGTGCTAACGTCACAGTGGTCTGTTTCGTTAAGTTACATCAGTAACTCCGTTTGGCGTTATGCGCACCATGCATTCAACCACTCTGACGTAGATCGGCGTTATGAGCACTGAACGTATTAAGTAGCTAGCAAACCGCAAAAATTAACTTTGTTATCGCTTCCAGAACATAAAAAACTTACCAATAGTCTCGCTAAAGGCGAAATTCGTATTTACTTTACGGAATGTACCGTTCCCGTCATAAAAAACTGGTACAACTCTTATAACCGTAAATCGTGTTTTTCATGTTGTGTAAGTTGAGCTTGTCACATGTGTCATTCTAATTTCAAAGGCAACGTTGCCAGTTCAACGAAAATATTATATTAAACCGGCTAAAAGCAGGGCTGTGCAACAGGTCGCAATTTTTAGTATACTAAAAACTAAAACAATATCGAGCATTCTCGATCAGTCAGTCATATTTATATTTACACATTTATTTAAACATACATCTTAAAAAATTCTATTAATTTTAAAATTTTCCATTATCTTAATACCAATACATTAATTCGTGTTTTATTATAATTTATGAAAATATTTTAATTCAAAAATAATGACAAATAATAAATCTAGACATGACTTTAAATTATTATGTTTAATTGGTTAGGTTAGGTTAGGTGTAATTGGTTTCTCGTAAAGTGTAGCACAAAACTGTATTAAGTTGTGGAATACTACAGTAAATAAAACCCACTGGAAAAATTTTAAATTTAATTTGAAATTAATAAAAAATGAATAATTTTTACAGTGAACAAGTGTGGAATTTAAATATATTTATTGCAATTTGAGAAGTTAATATCCATTATTATTAATCACTTCTTTTTATCTTCTAGGAACTGAGTTAATTAAATTTTGTGACGAATTTTCATTTTCGACCAAGCTTTCCCAGATTTCTTCAATGATGGTCCATAAATGATCTCTGTTTTGTGGAACTACATTTAATTTATGTATTTTGCTGATCATAAGTCCACAAAAGTTCTCTATTGGATTATTATCTGGACTTTTAGAAGGCTATGAAAGAGCTTCAATGCTATTTTCCATAAGGTAATCCCGTACAAGGTGGGCTGTGTGGATTGAACAGTTGTCATGCTGGAAAATAAAATTATTGTTGGGATAAATTTCCCTAACCAATGGCAACATCTAATTATCTAATATATGTAAATAGGTTTCAGTATTGAATCGTTCTTTAATTCTCTAACACATTCATAAACCTCCTCTATACATCCAAGCCCAAACATTTATAGAGAACCGTCCGGACTTATCATTTAATGAAATATAGTTGTCGTTAGTATACTAAAACTAACGATTGCTCCAGTTAATTGTCCAAGGAAAGATTTAGGGCAAACGAAGCGTGGGGAGACGATGTATATCTTGGCTAGTTCTCTAGATAGACTGGTTCCAGTGACCATCTAACCAATTATTTAAAGCAACAGCTTCAAAGATACGAATAGCAATGATGATTTCCAAATTCCGTAGCGAAAAGGGCACTTGAAAAAGAAGAAGTTGTCGTTAAACCTATTTCAAGGCAGTCTATAGACCCTAATAAGGTCGTCATAATGAGACTGGAATACTTTTTCATCAGTAAAAATTACACGGTCCCAAAAATTGACTGCATCATTTAAAACCTAATTTAAAGCAAATAGGAGTCTACTTTGTTTATGTTCCTCGCTAAATTTGTATTTTCGGACGACTGCATACTTTTTTAAATCTGTTCTTCTAATTCTCCTTAATTCTGTAATTATAGAAGCATTAAAATTTGTATTAACTTTTGCTTGCCTTGCCGTATGGAAAGGATATGCTCTTAAATAATTAGTTAATGCTTTATATTGTTGGGCTGTAGTAATAATTGGTCTCCCACTACCTCTCCTTCTATCCAAAGTCTGCTCGTTTTCCTATCTTATTTTAATGTTGTGGATTGTGGTTTTGCTTCTATTTAATTCTTGAGCCAGTTGTCGAATAGACCAACCATCTTCTATTTTTGAAATTATTCTCGTTTTATCAAACTGACTTAACTGACGTGGCATCTTTAAAAATTCACTTTGACAAACTTGTCAAATCTGACTGATGGCAAGCAATCATGTTTATGTTTAATTTTTATGTTCAATCGTTCGGATATGTTCGGGAAGTTTTCACGCACTAATAATATCTGTAGATACTAAACCAACATTTTTTTGTTATAAGATGATTTTTTAAGACAGATATCTTACTCAGCTCATTATCATTTATACATCGTAAATCATTTATTTTTGAAAAAAATATGCATCTTAATGGGTAGGTAAACGTTTTTTACGTTTTATACATAATAATGTAAAAAAAGTAATAGTTTATTTATAGATAAAAACGGATTACAATTAGGATGTAGATTCAACCTTCATAAGAACCATTACAATCAGATATTGGATTGTAATGTAACATCTACTGTCACGTTTTGAAAAGCGTTTTTTATTTCAGATATTTTATAGTTTATAATCTACGTAGGATAAAGTATAATGTTAGTTTTTCACATTTATCGTTCATGTAATAAATAATAAATTAATCTAGGTAGTTTGCCTGTTACTAAACCTCTTGACATAACATACAAATAACAGTTTGTGTTCTGTAAGTAATTGAAGTATAAAATTACAGTAGATGCATTTAAATGTGCAAATACCCTAAGTTTAAATATCTTGGACATTTTGGACATTAACTCAATGCTCTCTCTGGTTATTAAATTTATTATATACGGTTTTTTGTTGTTAGTAATAAAAATAATACCTATCTAAAAACTTTATACATTTTTAAACGTTATTTTTTACGTTTTACGTTTTATTTAAATTTACTGAAATTTCGTTATCTGTGATGGCAACATCGAGCAAAAAGACAATAGAGGGAATGTAAAGGTAGTGGGGGCAAACATATTGTTAGACAGGAAGTGCGATCTTTAGAGGCCACATTAAACAAGGAAAGAGAGTCTCTCTCCTTGTTTGATATCAAATTTAGTTGGGTTATGTTATTGTTTGTCCCAAATGTCACATGAAATCTTATTTATATTGAAGTTTTTTAACAATTGTGTCGCATTTTAGACTCTTATCATTAATAATTAATTAAAACTTTCTCGTCTAAGACAATTCTGCGAAATATTATATAGCTACTTTTGATAAGTGTCGGAAAATTTAAATTTGACGCATTCGCATTTCCGGATATGTCCGCCATCAGAGGCCACTTTTTTGGTCTCCTTTTCATAAGGATTAAATTCCCTCTTTTGTCTTATTGCTCGATGGATGGCAACAACGAATTGATTCACGAACAACTGCGTCCAGTCTGAACACAGGTTTACATTGGGAAAAAAAAGTGTACCAGTTTTATATGACGGGAAGTGTTCCAAAAAGCCACATGTGCTAGATGACCGGAATAAAAAGGAACTTAGTGCAGCTTACTGAGAAAATATTTTTTGCCAAAGATAAGCAAAACGGTATACCAAAAACAAAAAGTAATACTACACTTTAAGGAAACTGACTCAAATGTAATCGCAAGTGTTTTCATCAACTGTTTATTTTCATATTATTTCAATTAAATGGACAATCTGGACAGAGTGTGTGGGCAGAGGTGCCTGTAACAGCAAGGGAATTGTTTGTTCACCGATGCCATAAATTCCAGGAATTGTTTTTTACAACAGTATCTATAAAATGGATATTTTATTAATGATCTAGACCTTTTTAACTAAATCATATATATATAGCAATTATAATATTTATAATATTAATATATAAGATATAGATAATATTTATCTGTTCGCATTAAAAAAATGAATAAAGCAAAACGAAGTTTCCAAAATACACCCAAAATTTTACTAAATACATACCTACTACATTTTTTAACTTACCCAAAAGTACGACAAATCCTCCAGCTTTAGTTACGTGCAAACCCATCCTTGCACATACAACAGTTCCAGCACATTCGAATGTTGCGTGCGGTTCTTCGTTGAGTATCTCTATAATCTTAACAGCTACCTCCATTTCTTTCATTTTGCTGGTATTTAAAACGAGATCAGCAGCACCAATTTCTTTGGCCATTTTCAATCGGCGGTCATCTATATCTGTGATGAGTACCTTCGAAGCTCCAAATGCTTTTGCTACCATACCGGTGCACATACCAACTGGGCCAGATCCTAAGTTTGAAATAAATGACTTATTTTTTACAAAAACAATAAAATCGTTTCTAAAAATATTTTATCGTTTATTGGTAGTATTAAGGTCGATTCAGACACATCAGTCCCGTCACAGTCTCGGCGCCGAACTGCTCCTCTTTGGTCACAGCACTATTAATTATTTTACAGCTGGGAAACTGTTCCTCGCCTGATGAATGTGAATGCCGGCGCTATATTAAAGAATATTTTGTATGACAGATTGTTCGGTTCGGCGCCAGGACTGTGACGAGACGTGACTGATGTGTCTGAATCGACCTTAATATGGACTGTTTTTTAATCAAGCTATAATTGGCTATATGTATAGATTTTGTTGATAGCTGCTCAGGAAATGGATACTTTTAAACCACTCACAGGTTTCTTCGACTAGACCCACTACTTCAAGTCAGCCAAAAAATTTAAGGAAATATATCGTTATAATACATACATTATAATAAATAATTACATTCTCCAAAATTTCTGCAAGAGATTTAATTAGGGAAAAATTATGTGTCCACGATACTATGAGAATTATTTCAAAAAAAACGGCACAAAGGCAGGAAAAAAATTAAAAAGAACTCTATCAGTTCTTTATATTCATATTATTATATAAATTAGAACTGCAAAATTAATTAAGTTGGAAAATTGACACAATATACAATTTATTGAGACAGCAAGTGGCATTGGCTATTAGCAGTCTGACGAAAACTATACAACATAGTCAGTCATCAATTAAATAATTAAAAAAGGGTTTGTCAGTTTAGATTTGAAATAAAAAAGTTCAAAGATAAACCTAATATATTAAAGTGTTTCGTGTAAAACTTATTGAGGTCAGTGGTTAAATGATTAGAATAATAACTAAAAAAAAAATACAATATTTTGATTGTAAATAAAGGGCGTAGGAAATTTCGACACTAAGCAGGTAGCGACTAAAATTTAATGGCAATTTTCGACACCAGCCCCAATTCCCGGTTTTATCTTACAGGTATATTCGACACCAAATAAATATAGCTGCGACATAAACAAAATACCATAATTAAATTATTTATTTATTTTAATAAAAGTAATGTGCATTTTATTTTTTTATAACTGTAATAATATCTAAATATAATACAACTAGTACCTAATTTTTGTACATTTTACCGTTAATATACTTGTATACAATGATTTATTTGCTATTATAGGAATGATAAGATACAGCTTTTATAAAATCTAACCTACGTATTTGTTGGGATCGTAGTTTATCCATCATTTTCTCTAAAAATGCCAATTTAGCCTTAACAGTAGTATCTTTGATTTTTGCTGGTATATGTAAACTATTTATTTTGACATAAGTGTCTACATGAAATTCTCTTAACTTTTCAACAAAAATAAAACTAGAAAGTTGTGTTGAATAAAAAGAAGAATTAAATCTCGAATGAAAGGATTCACAGGCATTTGTGGTCCTCGCAATAGACGGATTCTGATTAGACCATATGTGTGGTGGAAATAGAGCGCTATCGAAAATGTAATTTTCCAGTAAACAATCTGCATATATATATATATATATATATATATATATATATATATATATATATATATCAAGTGTTGCGTTTATAGGTTTATATGACATTAAATCATAAAGAAGGCATTCTTCAACTTCTGCTGGATTTAAATAAGTTAAACCAAACGTATGCCTTAACCATTTTCCAATCTCTGAATTTGTATCCTTATATTCTTGTACCAAAACCAAAGATTGAATTTTTTTAAACCAGTTTTGGTGTAAGTGAAAATGGCATCCACTAATTTTTGCATTGAGCCACATATACAATAAAGAATATTTGTCTCGCATGAAAATACATTTACATTTAATTCAGGATGATTTAAAAACAAAAAACTTTCATTGCGATTTAGGAGCGTTGATCAGGTTTTAGGAGAATAATTACTAACCGCGTTATGGACTTCTGATATACTTTTTGGTAACGGACCTGGTAACAGTTTACGACGACAGTTGTAAATGTTCTTTCTTAAGCTAGCTATATCAGGAACCGTCAGCAAATTGGCATCATACTCAGCAACAGCAGTTCTTGTAATTTTGGCAGGCTTTTCCGATATGTCCTCTTGGGCTTTTCTTTTACATGCATTGGTTACCATCTTTACTTCAAGCTTTTTTGGATCGGCTTCATGATTATGTACCAAATCACTTCTTGTGATGGTGAGGTCCTCACAGACTATTGTAAACACTTTTGCGGAACACTTAGTGTTTCTTTGGATGCAGCGCCAAAATATCTCGCCGATTTTTAACACTTTCTGTTTCGAGAACGAATGATGCTCCACCACTAATAAATCTCGACCACGGGAACTTTTTATCAAACTCATTTTTTAAATATCCGTATACGTGCACAAGTCAACGTCAAACAAGAAATAAATTACATCTGAAATAATTTAGTCACAAGTACACAAGTGCCACGCCCCCCCGCCGTGACAATAAATATTGGGAAAACCCGCTTGTCCTGCTTGGGTGCAAATGTCCATCGCCGCTAATTACCTACCTACCTGCTTTACGCCGCGGTGTCGAAATTTCCTATAATAAAATTTGACCCTTCGATTACCCCAGGTACAAAGACAATTTGGTGTCGAAAGTTCGCCCGCCGTGAATAAATTAGCAATTAATTTAAATATCACGAAAATATCTGGCGTAACTAATTATTGTTATCTGTACAAAGAAAAAACACTTACCTTCTGAATAATATGTATTAATTGTAGGAAGTAGTAGAAGAGTAGCTAAACCCCTTTGTGAGAAATGACGCCGGCGGTGAGGCACTAAAGGACGTTCGCGTCTGCGATAAATTTGAGATACTTACAGTACGATGTCTTGATTTAATCTCGTTGTTCCCTTGGTATGGAAAAGGCACAAACCCTCTGACCACTCTTCTTCTCTCTTTCTTTCCCTGACTCTTCTTTCTCCGTGCGGCTCGCGGAGATAAGAATACGGCCGAGGCGATTTTTTTCTGCCTGTCGTAAGAGGCGACTATTGGGAAGGAATGAAGAGGTAGAGAGCCATCGTTTGAGGTGTCGGGTTTGTAGAAAAACACTCGGGAGGCTTAGCCATCTCGGTCACCGGTCTACACTCTTAGTCTCCGAGACAAGCCACTCGTGGGACCACTCTACTCTTATTCCACAGAATCAGGTGAGGTTGAACGTGCCGCGTCTCTGCCTTTCCCTATTAAGGACGTGAGGTTATGGGACATACCCACCTGGGAGATTTGTGAGTGGTAGAGGAGAGCTTCTCAGCGGCGACCTGTCAAACGTACGAGGTCGAGCTTGGACCTGCGTTCACCTATCCGCCCCCGGAGGGGGGGGGATTAACGAAGGGTGTGCGTACCACAACACAGGTACTACACGTCAAATTGGTGATCTCAAAAGACTAGGGGCCTGCCAAAGCTTTCATTGGTGGGAACACGAATCATTTCAATGACCACTCTTCTTAGGTGGTCCGAAGGTTAGTGAGGCAACTGAATCTCCATAAATGTACGCTATTGTAATAAATGGTTCACAGAAATTTGATATTTAGTAAAGTTTTTTCTTTTAAGACAGTTAATAAATAACAAAAACAAGCTAATTTCTTTTAACTTAAGATTACCATTGTTAGCCATGACAATGAGAATTTACTGAAGTGAAGAAAAATAATCTACTGTTAACTTTTAAAGTAAATAAGTAGTTATAATATATCATTAAACAAGATCATAATATAATACAGTAAAAAAATATTAAATGTAATGTAAATGGATATATCATTGATATTGATATTGATATGTAAGTCGTAACTCTTCCATATAACAGGTTTATCTTTGAACTTTTTTTTTTAATCTATATTTACAAACCTGCATGTAACTCTTGTTTTGTATAAGGTGTTCATTGTTTGTTTTATGTTGTTTTTTGCTTATAGTTTTTATTAGAATAAAAACTTGACACATCTCTTATACATTAGTATTATGGACTCACATTGGCAACCTTTTAATCGTTTTAAAATATTTCTTTTAAAAGTATAGTACCTGGTAATAACACAGAAAATACTGCGGCTAAGTGGAAAAGAAAAGCAAAGAATATAACACCCTAAACATAATATGATAATTAGTAGCAAAATACATAAAAAACAAACTAAAGAAAATACTGTATACAAACTCTAATACCATATCAGAATTATGCAGTACTTTTAACCTTTGGAGTACGAAGACTGGGCCAAGCGTGACCCGAAATTCACTTATCTCTTAATATTTCATGAAATAATTTTTTTACAAATCTGATTGTTCGTAAATTCTCCTTATTTGTTTCAATCTATTTTTTCGAGTATCACTCGTGAACATGCAAATTGCAGTTTTTCCTCTACGTAAAATCTATGATGTCGGGCCAGCCCTGACCCGGTCTTCGGATTTTGAAGAATTTTTCAATGTGTTTGTAGCTACACGTAAAACGCAGCCGTCTCTGTTTTCCAGTAAACGTATTCAAGGCAAAATGATTATGTTTGTAGAAATATTAGTAGATAGAAGTTAACCTTGGGAGTAATGTAGTGTCTAATAGTCATATTCTATGGGAACGTCCGAGACGAGAGGTCTAACTTTGGTGTAAAGCGGTGTTTCACGTTTGTTGATCTATTTAATTCAAGCATCGATCTTGAAGTGTGCAGTATTATATCAAAATGTGGAAAAAGAATAAACCTTTGAGTGAAGCTGAGTTGTATGCCTTACTCCCATCAGATAGTGAAGAAGATGATGTTGCAGAGCTGGATGAAAGCAATAGTGAAGCGAGTGATAATGATGGTTGTGAGCCAGAAGCACATGAAGGTAATTTATCAATTACTAAACTCGAGAATGAGGAAGTTTTAGCGACAACTTCTGAAAATATAGCTATTGAAAGATCTAGCGTATCTGATGTTTTGTGCGAAGGACGAACATGGCGTTATTTAGCTCCAAAAAAGGGTAAGACATTGGCATGTAATTTATTACAGAAAAACGTAGGTCTAACTAAGAAAAGTCAAAATATTGAGACATGCATGGATGCCTTTAATTTATTTTTTTCTGATAGTATAATGTCAATGATTCTTGAGTATACCAATAAGAGAGCTATTGAGTTCATAGCTGCGTTTAACAGTAAGAACAAGAAAAAAATGAAGGATTGGACTGAAGTTGATCTAGTCGAACTGCTTGCTTTTTTTGGTATACTAATATTATGTGGAAGGTTCAGAGAGTCCCATGAGAAAGTGCATAATTTATGGTCCAATACAAATAATGCGTTTACGCGTCCTATATATAAAGCATCTCTAAGCCGGGATAGATTTATAAGTATTTTGAAGCATATTCGCTTTGATAATTTGGAAACGAGAGCAGAAAGAAGAGAACGAGATGAATTAGCTCCTATTCGAGAAATCGCTGATTTAATTGCCCACAATTGTAGGGAATCATACAAACCATCTGATTTTTGTACTATTGACGAGCAGCTTATAGATTTTAGGGGACGTTGTCCATTTCTGATTTATATACCAAGTAAACCAAAGAAATACGGTATAAAGGCTTGGACCCTATGTGACGCTGAAAATTTGTATTGCTGTAACTTTGAGATATATACTGGAAAGATTGGTGATTACTCTGAACGTAACCAAGGCCCAAGAGTTGTCAAAACACTTGCAGAACATTGGCATAGGTCTGGTCAAAATATTACAACTGATAACTGTTTTACCGATATTGCTTTATCTGAAGTACTGTTAACCAAAAATTTAACTCGTTTGGGTACTATCAGAAAAAATAGGAAGAGTTTACCCAAATCATTGCTTGAAATGACAGATCGCTCACTGTATTCTTCAAAATTTTTGTTCACTAAAAACATTACCTTAGTTTCATATGTAACCAAGCCTAATAAGTTTGTTGTATTATTATCGACCTTACACAATGAACATGAAATTTCTGATGAAAACCAAAAATTTAAACCAAAGATTATTTTGGATTACAACAAAACCAAAAGTGGAGTCGATATTTTAGATAAATTGATCAGAGAGTACACATGTAAAAGAGCAACAAGAAGATGGCCCCTACGTATATTTTTCAACTTTTTGGATATTGCGTGCTACAATGCTTTCGTTCTCTGGAATACGAAAAATCATGAATGGAACAGCCAAAGTAAATATAAAACATCGCAGAAAACTATTTCTGGACGAGCTTGGAAAACAATTAACCTCGCCCAATAAACAACAAAGAGCGGAAGCAATACAAGAAGAACCCACCGGATACCCTAAATCCGTAATCGCTGCAATAGAGACCACCGGTGTTAGTGTAAAAAAGCAAATCGAAGTGCCGAAATCTGGAACAAAACGAGGTCGTTGTTATTCTTGTAGGAGTAGTGACAATAAATATTCAAAAAGGTGTGACATGTGTAAAAGATTTTGTTTGTAATACTCATTCAAAACGCGAAGAAGTCCATATTGTCAAAATGAAATGCAACTACTGCCAAAAAGACCACGATGGTGAACCATCTTAAAAAATTTAAATACAAAAATTTGGGATCATAATTTTTATGTTTCTTTGTTTTTTATTGTTGAATTAAAGATACTGTTTAATAATACTGACTATTTAAAACATCCTTATAAATAGAATGAGAATGGGTCACGCTTGACCCATCTTCGTAATCTAAGTAAGTCAAATAATCTCCGTACTCCGAAGGTTAAGATAAAACTTTCCACATTAAATAACTTTTAAACTTCTAATTTTTAGGAAAAACGCAAAATCATGTCAATTTATATGTGAAGGGGGAGACATTCAGCCCTATTCTGTAACTACAAATCGAATAGAGGTCAGCAAGTCGGATCGAAATTGTAGGAATCGGTATTCTGTAACTCATCTCGACCTCTATCTTGCGCATTGGTATCATTATTTTTTTTTTGTGTGTGTGTTTTGGCTTGGATAATTGTCATTCAGCCAGTCTCAATCAAGATAAGTTTATTAATGTAGTGTGTGTGTCTGTGTTTCTGTGTGTAGAGTAATTGTCTTGACACTTAGCAAAGTCGATGTCATTGCTTTTGCTTAGAGACGCTAATTGTATCCGAACGTCTGCGGTCCCTCCGGTGAGTACCGATCACACAAGGATAGAAATTATTTTCATTTATTAATTTTTTTTTAATAAACGTAAATTTCCACCCAGGTGGGATTCGAACTTACGACCTTTAGGTTTAAAGGTAGGCGCTCTTACCACAGAGCCACATAGAGGGTTGGTATCATTATTGTTTTGACATTTATTTGTTGCCTTATTTATATTTGTTGATATAAATTAGCAGTTGATTCATTTTTGTAACTGCTTCATTTTTTAGTCTGTGATGTTATTTATTTAGATTTATGTAAATAAAGTTAACTAAATAATTTAACTGCTCAGCAGATGTCTTTTTTTGGTGTGTAAAAGTTATTTCAAGAGGATAGTTTTATCTGAAAAGCACTGTATATATTTATCATAACGATGTTTAATGAACAATATACAGAGTGGCCCAAAAGTCTGGAAACGGCTAATTATCTCGTAAATTACTAGACATAATTATACAAAATTTGAGATACGCCTATCTTGGGATACGGAAATTCCATATTTGGTATTTGCAATGTTGCCAGATGTTCAGTTTAATTTATATTACTAGTAACTTTGGTTTTTCAAATACATCACCCTGTATATTCAGTCATTTTTAGAATCTCCTATTAAATACAAGTTCAACCATATGTAACAATTATGATTTTATGTAGTTTGGAAGGTCTTAAATACATAAAACCGAAGTCTGGCAACGCCGAAATTGTTTCAATACATTTTTTAATACTAACTATTTTCAAATACATTAAAACGTAACAATTGATAGTTTAGAATATTTTTTAACATAAAAGTTACGTTAAGTGTTCAAAATGTGCTCCATTTGTGAGTTGACAGCACTCTAATCGATGGTAGAATGCGTCTACCACATTTCTCCATGATTGTCTAGAAATTATTCGAGATTCATCGATAATTCATTGCTTTAGCTATGCCAGACTTTTTGTAAACTGAATTTTTCAAGTATCTCTAATAAAAATAATATTTAGGATTGAGATCGGGTGAACGTGGAGGCCATTCAATTCTACCTTGTCTACCAATTTATCGCCGGGGAAATATCTCATCTAAATAACGCCGAACATTTACACCAACTATCTGACGTTAAATTTCTTTTGATAAAAAATGGCCCAATTAAATAAGTACCTACTATATCTGACCATACATTTAATTTTTGTGGTCTTTGAGTATGGTTTTCACGCATTCAGTGTGAATCTCACACGAGTTCAGCTATTCAATACGAGTTCAACCATATGTTCACTTGATTGTATGTAGTCTGAAAGATCTTAAATATATAAAACAGTGCAAAATATGTAGATTTTAATAAATTTAAATATTTAAATGGAGAATGCTGTGATTTTGACATTTATTCACCATTTAAATTAGGAACTAAAATTGACAGTAGTTGTGGTTCTGCTTTTAAATTGCTTCTCTAAAATGCCGTTCTCTAAACCGTTCTCCTATTTATAAGACGACGGTACAAAAAACTGTAAGGCGATTTGAGGAATCTGGAGAAATAAAAGATAGATACCGGTCAGGTTGACCGAAACGAGTTATCATTGACAACAAAACTTCAGATATAAGCAAAATTTTGTTGAAGATCCACATACATCCCCAGGCAGGGTTGTACAAGTACATGATGTAGGTCATTCTTCAGTTTTACGTTTATTACGAAAAAATAAATTTAAATCATAAAAAATTAACTTATTGAAAGAATTAAGTGAAGATGACTTTGGTCGTAGAGTAGAGTTTACTGAGGTTATGATGGATAAAATTGAAATATATTAAAATTTCGTTAACAGAATATGTTTTTTGATGAAGCAAATTTTACACTGTGTGGAAGTGTAAATCCACACAATTTAAGGTACTGGTGTGACGTAAATTCACACTGAAGACTGAATGCGTGAAAACCATACTCAAAGACCACAAAAATTAAATGTATGGTCAGATATAGTAGTTACTTATTCAATTAGGTCATTTTTTGTCGAAATAAATTTAACGTCAGATAATTAGTGTAAATGTTCGGCGATATTTAGATGAGATATTTCCTGGACGATAAATTGGTAGACAAGGTAGAATTGAATGGCCTCTACGTTCACCCGATTTCAATCCTAAAGATTATTTTTATTAGGGATGCTTGAAAAATTCAGTTTACAAAACTTAACCAGCAAGTCTTGCAGAGCTAAGGCAACGAATTATCAATGAATTTCGAATAATATCTAATATCTAGACAATCATGGAGAAATGTGGTAGACGTCTTCTACCATCGATTAGGGTGCTGTCAACTCACAAATTGAGCACATTTTGAACACTTAATAACGTAACTACTATGTTAAAAAATGCTCTAAACTATCAATTGTTACGTTTTAATGTATTTGGAAATAGTTAGTATTAAAAAATTTATTGAAACAATTTAGGAGTTGCCAGACTTCGGTTTTATGTATTTATGACCTTCCAGATTACATAAAATCATAAGTGTTACATATGGTTGAACTCGTATTGAGTAGGAGATTCCAATAATGACTGAATATACAGGGTGATGTATTTGAAAAACCAAAGTTACTAATAATATAAGAAAAATGGCAAATCTGGCAACATTGTAAATATCAAATATGGAATCTCCGTATCACAAAATAGGTGTATCTCAAATTTTGTAAAATTATGATTAGCATTTTACGAGATAATTAGCCGTTTCCAGACTTTTGGGCCACTCTGTATAACATTTTATCATTAGTTAAAAACACTGCGTACCTTGAACTAGACATACTGATCCCAAATTTATTTTCGCCAACCTGTTGGCGTGGATTCCTACGGCTAACGGCTCGCACAATGCTCCTTCTTCAAGAGTCACGTGATCAGGAAGTCGATGGCAGAAATCAGCGTCTATGCAAAAGAATCTACATAAATTTCCATCGACAGGGGGCGTAGCGCAGAACGCAATAAACGGGCATAAGTGGTATCTAAAGAATTTTATTGAATAAATTATTTATTTAAGTATATCATTGTTCGTAGATTATAATACATTTTTTTTACAGTTCTAAATATTATTCTTCATACATGTGTAAATGTTTACAAATTACATAGTAGTAGGTAGATAGTGTTCCTTCTGGAGCGGAAGTGACGTCACACATCGATCGTCAAGCGTACGTATCCTCATGGGCCAAGGCCACGCCCCCCTCGTGACGTAGGAACGTGCCTAGGGTCTCGAGGCCACGCCCCTCGACCAATGGTGACGTAGGAACGTACCTCGTGTCTCTAGACCACGCCCCTCGGCCAATGGTGGCGTAGGAACGTCCCCCCATGTCTTGCTGACCAATGGTGGACGTTCTCGTGACGTCGGAACGTGTCGTCGACCAATGGCAGCATAGCAGCGTCAGTGGTGGGAATAGCAACACCCCCAGCGACCAATGACAGCTCAGAATTTGAATAAACATCATAGAAATGGCGGTCTAGCGATGAGGAACCAATGGTGACATAGTAACGCCCTCCTCGTGACGTCGGAACGTGTCGTTGACCAATGACAGCATAGCAGCGTCAGTGGTGGGAATATCAGGCCAATGGTGGCATAGTAACGCCCTCCTCGTGACGTCGGAACGTGTCGTCGACCAATGACAGCATAGCAGCGTCAGTGGTGGGAATATCAGGCCAATGGTGGCATAGTAACGCCCTCCTCGTGACGTCGGAACGTGTCGTCGACCAATGACAGCATAGCAGCGTCAGTGGTGGGAATAGCAGACCAATGGTGGCATAGGAACGTCCCCCAATGGCCTGCTGGCCAATGGAGGACGTCCTCGTGACGTCGGAACGTGTCGTTGACCAATGGCAACATAGCAGCGTCAGTGGTGGGAATAGCAACACCCCCAGCGACCAATGACAGCTTAGAATTTGAATAAACAACATAGAAATGGTGGTATAGCGATGAGGGACCAATGGTGTCATAGTAACACCCTCCTCGTGACGTTAGAACGTTTTTCTCGACCAATGATGCCACTGAAACGTGTCCTCAACCAATGGCGGACATCCTCGTGACGTTGGAGGCCAATGGTGTGCATCAACGGCCAATGAGAAAGACGTGCATCGACTAATGGTGGAGTCGTACCACAATATTAACGAAAAGACGCCCCCAGTCCCCCCCATTCCCCCCGAAAAGACGTTCCCAGTCCCCCCATTCCTCCCGAAAAGACGCCCCCCCAATAATAACGAAGCTACACGTCCAACGTAACCAATGAGAACGATGTACAATCGCTGGTCGGTGACTGCGTTCTATGAATTGACAAAGAGAAGAAGACGAATGACAGACAAAGAGAGCAATTTTTCCTCGTATTTTTTTGTAATTAAAACCTACAACCATTAGCGTAAAACTTCTAAATTTTTTCAATTTATATTTTACGAGTTACCTCGTATATATTTTATCGATTACCATAATAACAAAAATTCGTTTATTTTTCAATTTATACTTTACATGATCAGTTGAATGCTACTGAGAATAATGACATCACCCGGATACGCCGGCTATTAAAAATGTCTCACGCGATCACGATATATAGCCGGAAACACGTGCACATTCCAATTCGATTATTTAATGTAAGATAAAATATATTCGCATGGAGGCAGGAAGCAGGTGCATAATCCGTTGTATTTAATAATTAAGCCCGGCATGTGATGCATAAATGAATAGTCTTACGAAATATTGCGCAACATAGTTTTAGCGTGGGAGAGGCTGTTGGATAAAGAGCAGATGCACTACATATCGTCAGTTCAATTCTGATCATCCTTCAGACAAGTTGTGTGTTTTGTGCAGCGTCAGCAATTATACAAAGTACCGTTCGGAGAAGTTCTGTGTTTGTGAAGTGCCGGCAATTATATATACAAAAGTAAGTTTTATAATACTTAACCTTTTTTATATCATTTAGAATTCATCATTATCTTTACTAATTTCCAATTCTTAATAATTTTTCTGATTTAAACATTTTATTCAAATTACTTGGTTATATTCTCCGTTCTAAAAAAAAAAAAAATGTTTGTAAATAGTGCGGTATTTGTAATTTTTTGTTTCTATGAAAGTTTTGTTAGTTAAAACTATTTCATTGTTAAATTAAAAAATATACATATTATAATAGATAGAATTTTTGTAAAATAATATTGCTACTCAAAGATATTTCACTGTTAAATTAAGAAATTGCTAGTCAAAGATATGTTACTGTTAAATTAAGAAAATATATATTGTTGCAGATGGACCTAAAAAAGATTAATGCATCCTCTCTGCTTACAGAGAAGACAATCAAGCCAATTAGAAAGCTAAACAGCCTACCCGTAGGAGTACCCCAGAAGATAATTGCGGCAAGAGAAGTCGATACGAAATTTGGGAAATCCATCCTTATTGAATTAGAAAAGGAGGTGACGTTCTTGCCGCAAAGGGTGGTTGAACTCTACAGGCCGCATTTGGAACATTTCAGCGAGGGAAAGTACAGCTTGGTGTTCCGAGGAAACGTTGCCACTGGAAAGGTGCAGCCAGCCGCCTCGTTTGAAATAATAGAAAATTAGAGGATAAAAAAAATATTGGTGAGTTTTTCATTTATTGATTTATTGCTTTTTACTTAATCATGAGTAACATTGGTGATCTTAGTAATGACATTGTACAACATTTAATTAAAGCGCGTGATGTTTTGTTTCGAAATTATACACCGCGAGAAGCGAATATTTGGTTAAATCACATTAAAAGGCATTTGACTTTGTTTACTAAAGCGATTCGGTGTGGGGACTTGGAATTAGCTAAATTACGGCAACTACAGACAAACGCGGGGCATTTAAAGACAATTAAATCGGAAATTCAAAATTTCGGTCTTCGCGTGGGTGGTGGAATTACTAAACATCGTCGGGTTAAATGGGAAGATGTAAATTCCGCATTCAAGAGTAGAATCAGAACAGGTATAATTATTAATCTAGGACACAAAGATTTAATGCAATTTTTCGGAGATTGTTTTAAGTTATTTAGTATACTATCAGCCATCATGAGGATCGCATTAGTTGACATTCAAGGATTCACCGTAGATGGGTGGTTTGTTCCCAAAGAACTTAGCATTGAAATTGGCTTTAAACATTGCCATTATATATTTAAACCTCCACAACCGTTTGCTACATTAAGTAATCAAGATAAGAAGACTGCTGTGTACTTGGAGAAAAACGTGCATGGTCTTCGGTATTCTAATGGAGATGTTAAATATTCAAAAATAAATAAAATACTGGAATCTAAGTTGTTGTATGCAGCTGACTACATCTACGTTCGCGGAGAACAACAAGCAGAATTTTTAAGATACAAATGTTATATGCTTGACGTCTGTCCCATAATTATTGATGTTTGCAAGTTTGATGATTCTCCATACTCCACTGGAGGCTTTGCTCCACATGAATACAACTGCCACGCTACTGGACTATTTTCCTGCTCCTCGATAAATGTGGATCACCTCCGTCAATGGCTGTGTAACAAAATATTACCTATATAAATTGGATTTTTTTTTAATAAAAGATTAAAAGTTTTATTTTAGTTTTATTTTAACAGTTTTACATATTTATTTTAATGCAAGATGATTCGCATTTACGATTTACAAGAAATTTTTTAATGATATTACTCGCTATAAAAACATTTATTATGAATATAATACTTAAGAGTATAATCGATAAACCATATTGATCGATGTCATCATTATTATTAGTCTTGTACCATTTTGAATCACTTTCGGTGTTATTTGGGGATATTAGCATGATCTTGTAGAATGTTCCTCCTGACTTTGGTATCGCTTTGAAAAATACTGGAAGCTGTCCATAATTCACCACTTCATGATCCATTAGAGTCCAGTTCGGTCGATTACAATCAGTTTTTTCATCATTAAAACATATCGCCTGGTTCTTAACGTTGTTTGGAACGTTTGTATAAAGGACATTGTTAACAATAGCTGTAAGGATGATGAATAAGGTTGTTAGTGGAGGCATCTTGTCGGTTGAATTCTTTTTAACGGGTATTGTGTTGTTTTTGGTAACTTTCTTTCTGACAAATTAAACTCTGCAAATCGTTTTTCAATTGCAGTTCTATCTTCGTACCACTGTATATCGGCTTTTAACTTTTGTATTTTTTCGTACAACTCTTCTAATCTACACCGTATGGAAGTCATCGATGAAATAAATGTCTTTCACTCCATAGGTCAATATAAATAATATCCTTAATCACCCCCACTACCATGGTATAATAAAAAGAAATAAATGTTTTAATCCTTTATTCAAAAATACTGTTATTTAAATCACTAATTGTATCTTCATTATAATAATACAAATATTCCCTTAATGCTAAACTTAAAATACTAGTATCACAAGAAGCCTCACAAAATGAATATAAAATGTCTATTGGTTGTAAATCGTTTTTGAATGAAGTAGCAATTTTTAACGCATTACAATAGTAATCTAAAAATCTCAGTCCTTCGAGAAAACGAATGCGTGGTAAAATTAACTTTTCATTTCCTTCAATAAGATTTTTAACATCTTTTTCAAATATCTGCAAAGTAACACCAAGTTTCTTAACATTGAGCCATTTAAGTTGATCTGTAGCTTGAGTTTCAATTGCTAAAAATTCACAACATTCTGGAGGTTCATCTTCACAATAGCATTGTAGAGGCATGAGGAAAAACTGATTATATTTACGATTAAGTTCATCGATGAATCGGATCCAATCACATATACCGAACAATATCTCATTATTCTCGCTGCTTAATTTAACACCTGGTTCAAATGATTGAGCTGAACTTAATCCAACTAATACTTTTAAATTCTCAAAATTATACAAAGTATTAAGCAGCATCACTTCACTTTTAGCTTTTACTTCCACACTGTTCATGTTGCAATGCCTACGTTTCGCGAAATAAAGCTATGAACATGAAAACTTTTAATTATATCTTCTTACCTCTCCACT